GACAAAACCAAACCTTATTATTAGCAACCTGTTAATGAATCGGCTAAGGTTTACAGAAACATAAATAGCACATACATCATGAACACATTCGAATGCAGAAATCATGGCATTAATGTTCCCAGTGCACTCCACGCTTCTGTCCACTCCTCCATCACTCATCTCAACAATCACCTCTTGAACTGGTTTGCTATGGTCTTTTGGGTTCACAAAGTCAGTCACACCAAATTTCTTGGCTGCAATATATTGAAAAAAAGAGCAAACTTACAAAACTTAGCCAACTGATCAAACATCATTGTACTAATAACAGTAATAAGGAAATAGAAAACCTTACCTAGTTCAAATCTGCTGGGGACCAAATCAACACCAATGATCCTTGATGCACCTGCCATTCTTGCCCCTTCTGCAGCCTGATCAATATTACACAATTTTAGTCACCTATATCAACTTTTTATTGTTGTCAGAATATTGACATCTTCTAAGAAGACTTACAGCAAGGCCAACAGCTCCCAATCCAAAGACAGCCACCGTTGAGCCTGGTTTTGGTTTAGCAACATTCAATGTGGCACCAAGACCTGCAAAACAACCCATCAAACCTAATTTTTTTTTAATGATGTTCAAGATTTGATAATTGACTAGATTGTTGTGTACCTGTGGAGATACCACAGCTGAGGACACAAACTTTGTCTAGAGGTGCATGTGGGTTGATCTTGGCGATAGAACCAACATGACAAACAGTATATATATTCGCTGAAGGTGGAGGTTGGCCGTTGATTGTAAATCTTGATTTCTGGTCGTGAAGCATCACCCCTCTGTCAGTGTTGATCCATAAAAATACAATTATCATAAAATTCGTGAGGGAGTGCCCTTCAAATTTAAATTCTTAAAAATTTGCGTTTATTTGATATTAGAATATTAGAACATAGTTAATTTATTTATAATTTAATGTGTTATTATCACTAAAGCAAATTATACCATGAAAGTTGACCATAGTTCAAAATAACATTCAAATTATGTATCTTCAATTAACATATTATAAATAAATTAAAAAGACATAATATATATATATATATATATATATATATATATATATATATATATCATTGTCAAAGTTAATTGATATGGGCTAAGCCGATTTTAAAGTCGACCAATATGATGCCGAGGGATGTCATATCATTATTATGTGGACCAATTCAATTGCAACCGTCTTTAGCTTGGTGAATATATGAGTACCGAATTGAAAAATCCTATATATAATTTATATCATTAGCACGGGCATTAAATTTTGGATCTCAGCTCCTCACACAATTTCTCCAATAGTACGATTTTGTGTTTTAAGTTTACGTGTGTTGTAGTAGAGAATTAATGTAAATGACTAAATGGGGACAATTGCCTTCCGTACATGTTTATTAAATTTTGGATCTCCTCACACGTACAATTCCAAAGGCAGTAAGAAAAACGTTAAGTTAAACTTCTCCAATGACTCTGTGTTATAATTTTAGGTGTTGTATAGTAGCAAAGAATGTAAATGGGACAATTATCTTTCATGTACTCAAAAGTATTTTTAAATACATTGTTCAATTAATCATTTCTAAATGCACAATCATGGCATGGGGGAGGAAAGTGATGGGAATTAGGTAGTACCTTTTGTTTCCTAGATATGACTATGCACCCCTCCCCTTATGGATGGCTATCAAAGGACAAATCTACGATGTTTCTAGCTTCAGGTATAATTCTCCCCTAAAAAGCCATAACTTCCGCCATATACGGATTCAAAGCTCCATGCATGCAATATAATCTTCCATTAGCAGCTGCTATAAACTCCGGTCCCTGTTGTTTGATAAGAGAACCAGACATATATAGGAGGCTTCGATTCACCTGACAAGTGAAGGGATCGAATGGTCTTACATGCTGCACCTGTCGATGTTTGCTGGTGTCTGGACAACATCCCCGTAAAAACCATTTCCAGTAACAGACGCTAGGACGTGTTGCATGGTGTCGAACCGTAGGGGTTTGTCGGTTAGGAATCTCACAACTAATAGCTTAGATGTTTCTGTAGGAATCGAAGCAGCCTGGTTGGCGGAGAAGAAACAAATCCCGTCTTCATCACTGCAGAATCGTCGAAGTCGAATTGAAGTCGCCACTCGTCGTTTTGGAAGGGGTCAGCAGGGATTAAATAAGACAGCGGTTAGGAGACGACCAAGGAGTCTTCTATAGCCATTTACATCACTGACTTAGCTGCTGTACAGCGTAGGAGATATCCGGTCGTGTGGCCGTGAGATATAGGAGACGACCAACGAGTCTTCTATAGCCATTTATATCACAGAGCGGTTCACCATCAGTGTGGTTGAGATGGTAACCAGGCACCATTGGAGTGTTTACTGGTTTTGCCTCAAGAAAACCTACTTCTGCTAATATGTCCAGAGAGTATTTCCTTTGACAGAGATTTAGGCCTGCATCATCTAGTTTCGCTTCAATCCCTAGAAAATACCCTAACTTCCCCAAGTCCTTAATCTTGAAAGCATTGTTGAGCACTGTTTTGAGATCACTGATTAGGTCCAAATCAGGACTTGTGACCAATATGTCGTCTACATACACGGGTACGGCTATGAAGGAGCCCTCATGTCCTCTTGTGAACAAGTACGGATCAGCCTTGGACTGAGTGAACCCCATACTGGACAGAGCTTTATTTAACTTGGCATTCCACTGGCGGCTTGCTTGTTTAAGACCATAGAGAGATCGGAGCAGTCTACACACTTGGTTTGGTTTTTCAGATTGAAAACGGGAGGCAGAGTCATATAAACTTCTTCCGTTAAATCACCATGTAGGAATGCGTTATTTACGTCCAGTTGATGAATATTCCAAGCCTTCGAAGCTGCAATCGGCGGGAAGGTTCGTTCGAATGGTTGTGATTCTAGCAACCGGTGAAAACGTTTCAATATAATCAACACCTAACTGTTGGGTGTACTCTTTTGACACTAGACGTGCACAGTTGAGTGGTCTATTTGACCCTTATTCCTATTTTCTATTATGAGTTGAACTTTAACTAGCTATTTGATTTAATCATTGAATCAAATTAACGAAACTGGCGTAGTATTTTTATATATTTCATAAGTAGCGTAATTAATTTTGAATGTTAAATACATCCTTTTTCTTACATTTGAGTCGACCAAATTATTTAATTACTAAAAACTGACGTGGCATAAAAATATTCATTAATTAGTTAACATCTAAATTAATAAATTACTTAGCTTGTAGGTATATAATATAGTAATTGTAATTAAGTACATAATTTCTGACAATATCTACAATGGGCATAGTAAATTTGATCCAATGTAATGTGAATCTGGTCTAATTGTATGTATAATTTGCTAGGTACTTCAACTTGGAAGCTACAAAAGGTCAAAAAGCTATTTTCATTGATGGAAAAAGTAAATAATTGATTTAATTTATTATGATGGATTTAGTAACTTCTACTGCCTGTCATGAAGTGTACTAAAGGATATACGAAGAACTTAACGTCAAGTATTATTGTGTGCAGGATTTCTTTACAAATTGCAGGATTTGAGCAGATGAGCACATAGCTAAGCCAACCAAAATTGATAATTAAAAAAATAAAAATTAATCATCTTCCAGTACACAACTTTTATGAAAAGTTTCTTAACTTTTTAAAGGATGGCGACTTGCGAGCGTCAAGTCTTACGGTAAATAATATAATCTCTTTGTTTATATGAATTTATTTGTGAATATATATATATATATATATATATATATATATATATATTTTTTTTTTTTTTTTTTTTTTTTGAAATAATGGTTGTCAACCTGCAGTAAAGAAATCTATGAACTATAATGTCAACTGATTTTGTAATTAACAGTGAATTATGAAGTTTAATTGTAAGCTTAATTTTATTGTTAACAGTGATGGGTCAAGAAGGTCTAGGTCAAGACCGTCAAGTCTTTCATTCCACAATTAAAGCAAGACGACGTTGACAACGACTTACGTAATACGTATGGTAGGTGTAAGAAAAATGATACTCCAATTACACACATTTGTTCTGACAAATTGACAATTAGTAAATACAAAATAAAAAGTTCACCTTGAATACGGAATTAAAAGAGTTGTCCGCAAATGAAGGTTAACCAAGGACCGATAGAGAATAGTAATAGTCTTTGCTCAAATGGTAAATTTGAGACATCAATATTATTAGGATTTGGAGTTTTTTCCCCTACAAATATTATTAGGGTTTTGGCTCAAATGGTAATTTGAGACATCAAATTAAAGTCTTATTTGTAATCCTTGAATCACTCAACTTTGAATGCGGTATATATAATCTAGCCAATTAATTGACCAAATTTCACCCACCTTAATCACAAAAATCCATACTTTAAGTTTTTAACAACTACTCGCACGAACCCACGTACCTTAAGCACAAAACTCAGGCACCTTACGCACAAGACTCACGCACATTAATCACAAAACTACTCACCTTAATTTTGACCTAGATGCAAAAATTACAAAATTGCCACCACGTTTTTTTATTTTATTTTTAATTTTGGTTATCTTGGACGTTGATTTAAGCGAGATGAATGGCTCAGATTAAACCGCACAACCGCACCTGAGGCTTTTCGCACGAGAACCGATTTCTATTGCAACTTTTTGGTGTAACCCACATGGTGTGTGGTGTCTATCTTTGTGAGTCTGCTTCGAGAGACATGGGAGCTATCTGGCTTAAGGAGAATTGTCACTTGTGGGATATATATATATATATATATATATATATATATATATATATATATAGGCAACTTTGATATTATTTTATGAGGACAAGTCAATGTTACTATGAATTGTAGCATTAGGTGTTTTAAATGTCTCTCTCCACAATAACAATTTCAAAATTCATATACAAGTTCGGATCTATATGGAGAGAAACAATAGGTTATTTATTGCTTATGGGTTGTGGAAAAAAAAAATTAAAAAAAAAAATAAATAATTTGAGGGCATGCATGTATATATGGCAGTTGGGATTTTGCGAGCTGAAGCACAGCTTGAGAAACTTCAATTCCCTGTATGTAATAATATAATGCAGTTGTTTCGTTGAGATGAGATGATGAATACATAAGACGACGAGGACTATAGATTCATCAATACGTCTATCTCAAATGAATCATCAAGAGATTGGACCAGATCGGGAAAAGGAGGACAATGATGAGAACAATGACTAGGATAATGGCGATGCATGTGCATTTTCTGGATTCTTTCTGAATCTCCACAGCTTCTTCGAGCTGCTCGGTTCCACGGCGAACGAAGGAGCTGGCATGCGCCACGTGGTTCTCGATGGAGTTTAGTTGTTGCCCCTGCGCCTCCACAAGTGCCGCCATGTCCAGGAAGATCTGGTGCAGCTCTATGAGGTTCTTCTCGATTTCTTTAACGGCATCGTGCCGTTCTTGAATCTCCGATATGGTGTCCATAATCTGGCCCCGCCCTTGTTCTTGGATCGCCTTCTGAAGGAACGACTCGCTCTCCCCGCTGGATATCAAGTTGTCGATCAAGTCGTCGTCCGGCTGCTCCCCGGTGACGGTGTAGTAACGCCTCGCCACCGTCTCTTTGTACTCCGAGTTCATCTTTGCCCTAAGGTTCTGAAAGTCGTCCATCGTGTCTTTTAATTTCTTCCCTAACCCGCTAACCACCGCGGTTCTGGTCCGGTCCGCGGAGGAGCCCGGTCCGCAGCCCTGGACTTGGCGGGAGGCCGCGTTGGACCGTTCAAGCCCTTCCAGCTTTCCCTTAATCACTTTCACCTGTTTCAGCACTTTTGAAACGTCGACGTCCATTTTCGACCGCAAATCCTTCACGGTTTTGGCGTTATGCGCTGTCTTGCACTCCTCGTTGGCTTCCTGCAACCTCTTGTACAGTGCTTCCACGCCCTTCATGTCGCTCTTCACGTTCTCCACGTCTTCGAAAAATTTATCAAGGTCCACCGTCTCGTCTCCTCCTCCGCCGCCGTTGGCGGCTGTTCCGGCTTCAATGTCGTCCATCTCGACCTGTTTCTTAAGGTCCTGGTATTGTTTAAACGAATTACTAGAGAATAAGTCATTCATCTTGTATTTTTTTTTTTTTATGAATGAATGTAACCTAGATTATAAGATTGTAATTAATTAAATACGAATTAAAAGATTCTATCTTTATCGTCTTCTCTTCTTCCTTATTTTTATTTTTATAGGTTGATGGAAAGAAGAAGGTGTGAGCTTTGTTGAAGTTGCCTTCTCTCTTCTTCTTTCCTGGGATCGTAAGCATTTACCGGCCAAAGGCAAAGGTGGAATGATGGAGGAAGAAGAGGAAGGAGATAAGAGGAAATGGGACATTAAAAAAACCAAGGAAAATTTCATTTGTTTGGTCAATTGAAGCTGTGGAAACGGAAATGCTAGACAATGGTAGGTAGAGAGTGATAAAGGTCAACCAAACCAAATTTTGAGGACGTTCGTGAAATGTGGAGATCCAAAAATTCTTACTTGTGTGGACTTGGTATCTTGGTTTGTGTAGCTAATGAATGCCTAATGCTACCGGCAATAACTTAAATAAATACTCTAGCACATAAATATATGGAAAAAAAAAAAAATGACCCAGGTAATAGAAGGAGTAAATTGAATCTTTGTGTGCACATGAAGATTTGATTTGATCGGGGGTTTATTGTACATGCGATTTGTGATTTATTTCTGTAGTGATTTTAGGGCGAAGTCGTATAGACATATGATTAGTTTGACAAAATTGAAATAATCACCAAAGTATAAAAAAACTAAATAATTTTTGTGAGATCGTGAAATGGGTCGAGTCAGTATGAAAATGTAATACATAAAATGTAATAATACTAATTAGGAATAAGTGTTGGTTATTTATATAAAAAAAAAACGTAATACTTTTACATTTTTTTTTCAAAAGTATGACACTTTGCTTAGAAGTGACAAACACTTTGCTTAGAACGGACAGAATTGCCCTTGAGAAAACGGCATTAGATGACCAAGTGTAACGGAAGGACCATAGATGGTTAGAAACAAAAAGTAGGAGTACTGGAAGTGGTTGATTTAAAAGGTGATGACTAAAAGTGGCAATGCCACCAAAGTCGGAGGATGTCCACTGCTATTTACTCTTTTGAAAATACATTATTTTATATATACTATCAAATAATATAACATTTATATGTTTTTTATTGTTTATGTGGGTTGCAAACTAGCGGGCGGAGGCTTTTTTTTTATTATTATTTTTTAGACCACAAGGTCCTTGGCGAAGTCGCGACATCTTTTGTACACTTCATTACCACGTACTATTTTTTTTTTTTTTTTTTTTGTTGCAAACATGAATTATTTTATTTCAATTGTTTACTTGATATAATTTCTATTCAATTATATACTCCGTATATGTCAAAGGACTTTGTGGTCTAAAGAAGGCACCAAGTTACTCTTCCATATAAGACGTTGTGGGTTGAAGTCTCAATGAAGATGGTATTGACTCTTTGTGCGTTAATAAGTTGAGAAAGTAATTATGAACAAATATTGTATTGTAACAGAATCACTAGTACTCATATATATATATATATATATATATATATATATATATATATATATATATTACAAATAATTTTTATATTAAAATAAGTTATATACATAATATTATTTTATTTTTGTTATTTTTAATATTTTACTGTAACTTATATATTGATACAAAACAATAATTGCGGAGATAAATTAAGATTTATTAGAAAATAATAATAATAATATGAGTTAATACTTAATATCGTCCTCGACTATAGTGGTTTTACTCAATTCAGTTCTAAATGACTTTTTGTGCTCAATTTAGTTATCGACTTTGATAGTTTTATACAATTTAGTCATTTGTTAAAAATTCTGTTAGTTGACTATTAAAAACAGGGACGGAGCCAAAGGGGGGGCAGGGGGTCAGCTGCCCCCCCTCACCCAACCCCCACCCCATATATAATTTTTGTATGTATATATGTATATATAGTATATGTATTAGTATTAGTAAAATAAAACTATTAAATGTCAACAAAAATTGATTTAAATGAGTTGGTTGAGTACATGTTTAGTTATGATGATAAAAAAAATAGGGGTTCAAATCTTTGCATTGACATGTTTTTTTATAGTTGGCTTCAACAGTTTTTTTTTACTCTCACACACACACACACACACACACACACACACACACACACACACACACACACACACACACACACACACACACACACACACACACACACACACACACATATATATATATAACTTTTTTTATATTAATAATGAGATGTGTTTATTATTTTTTTTAAAGTTATCTCTTTTGTTTTAATGTTTCGTCTTTACTGAAAAAAAATTTTGAATTCTTCCCTACTTCTTCGCCCCCTCCCCCCCCCCCCCCCCCCCCCCTCAACCGAATTTCTGGCTCCGTCCCTGGTTAAAAATATATAGGGTCCTAATGGTAATTTCTCATCCTTCCTCCCATTTGGGGTGATTCCTTCTTCTTAAGATCCACGCATAAGGATGATAATTATAAAATTCTATGTTCATAATTCTTGAACTCTATATTCACAACATCTCGCTGAGTTGTTTTAACAATTTTTTTTTAAATTATGATTGGTGGAGAAAAACGGTGCCACTAATTGTATCGATACTCTAAAATTGCCAAACAGCATTGTAGTAGAATCGTGTCCACCTTGTAAGATTGACACATTTCCACGACATAACAATTGCTAAAATACATATCCATGCATGTTTAGTGTTGACCAATAGTAAGATAATAAAAGTTAACAAACAAATTTAATACTATGTATCAAAACGACAAAACTCATAACAGGGTGTAAATTAAAAGTTCCTATCCAAGCACACTTTTAGTGTATGCATGTTTTTATTTCTTACAATCAATTTTTGTGGAGACATAAAAGGTAGCGTATATACTTGCATATGTTTCTAGAGAATTCAGGAATTTTTTTTTATTTTTTATTTTATAAATATTTAGAAATGTATTATATTTTAATTAAGTAAAAGTGTTATACATTTACAACGTGAAATGACTTTACATAAGATCTACTTTTAACGAATAATTTTTAGGTAAAACCATACATTGACAACCTCTTTAATTCGGTTTGATTTTTATTATTTATTTATTTTTGTTATAGGTGCATGCATAAGCAAGCCACACCTCCTCGTAAGGACCAATCTCGATTATCAATTGATGATTAGTATTTAAAAAAATAAAAATAAAATGACAAGTGAATTGAATGTAAAACTTGATGCATGTAACAGTTGTTTGTCCCTTTTTCTTTCTTTTTTTTTTTTAAACCAAGAACAACTTCATTCATCATATAACAAGTCCAAAATACAATTAGGTAGAATAATTTCTCACACACCAAAAACAGAAGATGAAATAGCGAGCCGCACAAGCACGTGAGCAACTTGATTCGCTAACCTTCGAACATGACGTACAACAACACCATCCATGTCCCTAGCAATTAAGAAACCTACATTGCTTCTACAATAAACCGACATACGACAAATCTATAGCCTCAGAATTATAGTTGTTTGTCCCTTAAACTACTTACACTTCCTGTGGTCTTTAATCCAACTGGTCAATTGGTAAGCAGTCCAACTTTTTTCTCATTTGCTCAGATGATAGCAAAAGTACCCTTTCAGAAGTCAGCATAAATATAAGAATGGTAGGAGGGATCGGACCAAGATTGAGATCAAGGAAATCAAATCAAGAAAGAAGGCTGAAGTGAGAAGGAAGCGACATCTATCGACCATATTCCACAAGGCTTAGGGTTGCTGCAAATGAGGATTGCATGCATGCTGTGCATCGATCACGAGAGGAAAGATCATATTTTACAACAAAACTCATTATTAAGCGTTAATTTTTTCATTTTTATGGAATAGTATTCCTCTGATCTGATCTATCAAAACATATTAGTCAACATCAATATTCTATCTATAAAGAAATAACTCTATCAAACATACATACTATATATGATAAAACATGTCAAGGGCTAAATACTATGTATACGAGGAGAGTGATAGCGCATCGCATTGCATGATGATTTCATGAAGGAATTGAAAGAGCCTAATAATTAATAAAGAGTTTTTTTTCCACTTTTAGTCCTATGACTTTAATGTCTTTGTCAACTTAGGTTCACAATTTTTATTCCTGACATAAGTAGTGCTTGACTTTGATTTTTTTTTTTTCAACTTTTAGTCCTTCTGATCATCTGAGCGGCTACTTTTAATTGGAATCACTAAATTATCTTTTATGTTTAAATTTCGAAGGGGTAAATAAGTCTTTCACCATCACTTAAATAATAAACAAAAAAAAAATTAAAGCTATTTAATTATCTTCTTCTTCCCGTATCTTCGTCTCCCTCTCTTACTGTAAGCATACATGTGAACAAAACCTCTACAAAATATTCTTCTCAATCATGGAGCTTCCAACATGGGAAGTGGCAGATTTAGGTGCAGTCATGGAGCTTCCAACAATCTTTTCATGACAATAAAATATGCACTAACCAATCGAATTATGTTAAAAAATTTGCTGCCTTGTGCCAACATCATTTTCATCCAGCTATAAGCATCTCCATTTTCGAACATCATTCGATTCTTATAGTTGGATGAAGAGGATTCACTACACTTTGGTTGCATATTGAAGTTGCGACTGCTATCGAAAACAAATAACCTATCTATATAAAACAAAAGACTTAGATTTAGGGAATAAGAAGGAAGATACTTTTTTTTTAAATCTCAAAATTGCCTTTTAGGTTTGACCTGCAAATAACATTTAGGACCAAATCAAGTAAAAATGTCATAGTCGATGACCAAATTTGTGAAATCCTCATAGTCGAGGGACCAAATCGGTAATTTTCTCATTTTATAACACAAAACACAAAAAATCACACACAAGACACATAGCATTATGGACCCTGAATGAAACAACTAGGTACATAATTTATATTCGTAAGGTATATAATTTCATAACACAAGACACAAAATATCATAACGCAAGACACATGCACATGTTATATATATTTTTACTTATTTTTCAAATCTGATTTAGGTACGTAATTTGTATTCATAGGTACATAATTTTACAA